TCCTCCTGTCTCAGATTTGCAGAGTACTGGGATTACAGGTATGTGCCACCATGTGAAACTTTTAAAATTTTATAATTCCCAGAACTGTCTGTTGTTTAAAAAAAATGAAGGACCTAAGTCTTTAGAAATAAAGTGGACTTGGGGGCATATGCCTCAGTCCCTGCACCACCCCTGCTGCTGCCTGGGCAGGGGGAAGGGGGGGCACGGTGCATGTAATTATTAAACGTGAATTCAATTTAAAAAAAAAAAAGAAATAAAGTGGACTTGAGAGACCGCAGAAGGATTACACTCACACCTGCTAAAGATCTAACTACAGAATGTTCCAACAGGCTAGGATAAACAAGTGAAGTCAGTGTCTTGGCCCTCAACATCTCTCACCTGGAAGTACCCTAATTAACTAACCAATCAGAAAGGGGTTGAGATTTAGGATTTTTTTGCTTAGCCAATGAATTGCCTCAAAAATCAACTTTTATCGAAATGCCCTATTTAAAAAAACCTTTTTAAAAACTCCCTGAACTTTCCCTACGGGACCCTGTGCAGGACACATGGATTCAATTTACTGAAATTACAATTTTTTGTTTTCCAAATGAATGCCATTTCCTTTGACTTCCATGTCCTCTTTTTAAAAATTAACGATGTAAAGTCAGATCTAAAAATCAAGAAATGTCCACCTCCTGTGTATTAAGGGGAGTGAAATTGGAATCCAGAAAGAGGCAGAGAGAATGGAAGATTCAATTACCATCTAGCTGGGTGGTAATCAGAGCCCCCAACTTTGATACTTAATAGATGCTTTTCCCACTGGCCCCCTTGCAGAGTGAGTGCAGCATCTATCTTGTCTACCTCTAGGTTAATAAGGAACTGGTTCAGCGATTTCTTTCTCCTATCCTGTAGGCAAGGCTTACATGGGGCTTGGCTCTGAGCTGCAGGAGAGGGAGATCTGATAATTCACATTCCCCAGGGAAGGCCCTGAGTGGAGCCCCCTGCCCAGACAGCCAGAGGAGATTTTCAGGATGAATGAGTGCCTCCCCAGAGATTTGCTGGGTAACTCCTTTTCAGGGCTGGGGGCAGAGATTGAAATATGAATTACCATCCTGACCAGGCAGGGATTTGCAGGATGAGCCCTTCTGCTCAGGGGGAGATTTACACAGTCATAGTTACTTCATCAGCATTGCGCTTCGGGGATTGTCACTGTGTGACACTAGGCACACTGCTCGCATTGGGCTGGTTCATCCATCATAGCTCTCATTCCTGATCTGCCTGGACAATGCCTTTCTCTTGCTTCTCTGTCCCCATTACCTTCCAGTGCCATTCCCAAATGACAGATGGAGAGAGAAGAGAGAAGAGATAAAGAGAGTTCCCTCTATTAGGATTCCTGCCTAATAATCCTCTGCATCATTTTTGGACTCTAATTTTCCTGCTTCTCCATTGGAATGCAACCAAGGCCCTCTCTACTCACCTGTTTCCTGCCTCCCTCCCTCTTACAAAGGCACTAGCTATCTTCCATGGGTGACTTTACCTGCTTCTTTGTTCTCGGTGGGTCTGCAACAGACCTGTCTGTAGATTTGAAAGCCTATTGTTCAGCCAAATACCTCACCAGAATCCCACGAGAGACAGAGTTAAAAATCAGAATCCTGGGCTCCATTCCAGAATCAGAATATCTAGTTCTGGGGCTCAGAAATCAAGTTCTCCAAATAATTCTTCAGCACACTGAAGTTTGGGAAGTGAAAGCCCAGAACCCAAGCCGCCATCAGGTTGGGCTGCACTCTCCCTGCTGTGCTTTGGGAGGATATCATTCTCCCTTCATTTGGAGGACTGCCTCCCTCTACAGCACTGAGCAAACTTAGTGCAGGTCTCTGAGGCTATTTTGAGGGAGAGGGCAAATAACTGGGCCACCAAGGGGTGCAGAATGATCCTTAAGCTGGCAGCTTGAAAAGTACCCTGGCTCATGAATATTCATGCTGGCCATGTGGTCAGTTTTGATCACTCAGATCCATTCAAGGAGATTTCTCTAAGCCTTTGTGAGAGCAGGAAACAGGTCCTGGGAATAAGGAGGTAGGGAGGAAGATTGAGGTTAAAATGAATTGACAGGCAATAGGATTAGAGCTCTTGCTCAATTCTCATCTTGTGAGTAACTAACAGTGGCCTGAAATTAAAGAATTAAACCATGAAGGCTTCTTTGACAACTGATCTGATAGAACCAGAAGTAAACTTCAGGGACATTGTTGTCATGCAGAGGCAGGGGACAGCTAAGATAAGGGGCTTTGGGAGGTGTCGGAGGGTGAAGCCTGCCCTGTTTTTACAATTCGGAGAGAGAAGCTTTGGTCCCTCTTCTCAGTGAAGCACCAGATGCTGAAATGTTCTGGGAGCAAGTTAGTTTCCAGGGCTTCTGTTCATCTTTGGTAGCCCTTTCTTCCTTACATCCAATTATGACTTTAAAATGGAGGCAAAATTGAAATGGGGAGGAAGATAATGAAACATAAGTCAAAAGTGGCAGCTGGTGAATTTCTGATAATTGCACTTCCCCTGTAACATGTTACTGCTATTTCCTCATGTTGCACATTAGCTGTGGGAGAAAACCACCACCAACAAGAACAAAACACAACTCCAGAGGGTTCAAAGAAACAATGTCAAACGCAATTTAATGACATTTTCTATGGGAGACAGGGTAGAGGTAAAGTAGCATTCTAAGTTTGCTGCTGCTTCTTGTCTTTAACATCATAAAAAAGCCTAGAAAATTGTATATACATGATCCAAAGGTAAGTAAAATGTCTCTTGATTTCCTTTCTTTTTCTTGTCTCCATACCTAAAACAAGATTTAAAAGGAAAGGAAATGTTTATGTGCCGTATGGTCAAGGTGAAATATTTTCACACAGTATTGGAAAAGACAAACTCTAACTCATGTGGCTAATTCATGTGATGATTAGATATTGGAAAAATCAGTGCTTATCTACAATAGATGTTCTGAGTCTCATTTCAGGGAAGTTTTTCTCCAGCTGGCAGTTCCCTAGATTAACATAATGGAGAGCTTGCCAACTCTTTTTTTTTTTTTTTGGTACCGGGGATTGAACTCGGGCCCTTGCACTTGCACAGCAGGCGGCAAACCACTGAGTTAAATCCCCTGCCCTCGCCAACTCTTGAAGATGACTTTCAGAACAAATAATTTGAAATTTGACAATCTGACTAGGAGACTGCACTGGTGATGCTCTTTGGAGCTGAACTGTGAGCAAAGTCTAACTCTGATGTCCAGTTTATGTCTCCCTCCCTTTCTACTAGAACTGGATCCAAGTAGGAGCCTCAGCAAGCCTTACTTCTGCTCTCCCTTGTGTGGAAGCCACTGGGTTAGAGTCACTGGTTCATTGTTGACCATGGAGAGCCTGCCCACTTCCAGGTACGGTTTGCAGTGTCCTGGGACTTTGCCTTAGTGGGAGCCATACCTTGCAGGATCTATGCTGTGTTACAATGCAGTAAAATAATTATATTAGTTAAGGTTCACCAGAGGAATAGATTTGATATATGTATGATTATACAAAGGATTTACAGGTAGGCTTATAGGATCAGAAGTAGCAGAGTCTCAGAGGCTTTCTGCCAGACTAGACCTGGAAGAATACAAACTGGCCATCTACATATTAGGGGACAGATGATGGAGTTGAAGGTCAAAGGCCTGGAGCTCACTGGAGTCTGGTGTAAGTCTGTGTCAGAGAGCCAGAGACAACATTGGAACCCTGAAGGAATTACAGATAAATATTCAAACGCCATGGCCAAGAATGAAGCTTCTCAAAGAAAAAGGGCAGACATCTTTATGCTTTTCCTTTTTTTCTATCCAGGCTACAAACCTGTGACACTTCCAGGGTGAGTCCTCCCTCCATAGTCTGTCCACAGACACACTCAGAGCTTTACTAATCGGCCAGGTGGTTCTTTCTCAAGTCAAGCTGACATATCACAATTAACAATCTCAGTACCCAAGACAGGAAAGGAAAGTGCTGACCTCTGTTGTTCATGTGACATCCCTTGACTCATTATTTTTTCTCCATCAGCTTCATGTTATATCAGGGTCCTACTTTTGTGCTAACGTATTTTATGTGGTGTTTATAACCACCACGTACTGTGTGTAAGATGTTGGGTGCTTACAACCTCTAATTTCAAAATAAAACATGTCTTTAGATTAGGTTTTGGCCTGCATGTAAGGAAGAAGTAGGGAAGGGAACCTATGAGACCAGGTGACAGGAGATTCCAGTTTTGTAGAGCTTCATTTTGCTTTTGAGGTTGTGATTGCCAGTAGGCTGACCTTGTGAGCCATGATTGTCCATGAAAGCAACAAATAGAACTTTGCATACTAAAAACAACAGAAAGGGGTCCAGGTAGGGTAGGGGTGTTTTTTGGCAGGGATTGCTCTTGAAGCTGCTTAGAAGGCTCAGAATCTCTTTTCCAGTTGGTTTGTGCTTTTCTATTAATTTGCTCTTTGACCATCATCTGTGACCCTTTCAGTATGGTCCCTAAGGTCTTGCTCCTCTTTCCAAAGCCCTCACTTTCCATCCTGCTCTGTGTATGCTGGCAATGTCTAGGCAGTGCTATGCTGATAAATATCTACCAACTGGGTTTCTCTGTGTGTGAGTGTGGCATGTAGGCTTTGCTTATGGGCAGCATTTACATAAGGAGCATTTTCCATGGGGCAAATTCTCCCATGACGACTGATTTTAAAGCATCACCATGAAGTCACTAAATGTGGAGTTGGAAAATGAGCTGTAGAGCACTATTGTATTTAGCATGTTCATCTTAGAGATCTGATAGATGCTAACCTCAGTAGTACCAAAAATAAAGAGTGGTGAAATAATTAGGAAGTGATAAGTTCTGAGTATTTATTACCTTTGCATTAAATATAATTTATTTAATTGTAAATTTATATAATTAAATTTTTAACAATGGCTGTACTTAATCAGCTTGCAAAATTGCTAAAAGTTTAATAACCACAATACAAGCCAGCTTTAGTATACTGCTGGGTTTTGGACTGGAATAAAACGGAAAAAAGAGAAACAAAAGGGTACATTTAGTACTAAAACAGAGGCTTTTATGCCATTCAGACTCTATGTCTGAGTTCTGCAGAGCCTCAGGTCCATAAATTTATAGAAATAACATGATTGATATTGGTCAGAACCCTGGAATTTGGAACTAGTTATTCTATTTGCTAATTGAGTGATTTTAACCAAATTACCTAACCCCTCTTGGCTGGTTTCTCATCTATAATATGGGTACAATAAATAGTATCAAATGCATACGTTTTTGATGGGGATAACACAAAATAACATATTCAAGGCAGTTAGCTCACTGGCTCATATAATAAACTCTCAGTCAATGGCAGTCATGAGCACTATTGTGATTATTGCCCTGATCCATTTCTAAATGTCTGCAATAACTGCAGGTAGGGAATGAGGTCTGTCCCAGGTACAAATTCATGTGGATACAGATTGTTAAAGACAATCTTCATTGTACAATCTCACCCTCACTTACTATCAACCATTCATGTGGGTTCAGATTCAAGGGGAAGGCATGGCCCTCTTGATTCAGCCTCTAAAAAAACTGTTCTCATGAGGCTGAAGTTCAAATATGGGCAACTCATTTCTCACTGGTGAGTGCTGCTGTCTCTCCAGGCCTTCTTTTAAAATGCAAATATTCCTTAGAGGTTGTCATTAAGTGTAGCACCTTGGCTGAACAATGTATGAGGCTGATCAGATCCCAGGGATCTGTGAGGAGTTCTGGGGAATCTAAGAATGAAAAGCCTAGAAGTGGATGAAGAGAGAGAAAAGACATATGGACAGATTGCTCCACGTGGTTGTCCTTCATCTCTCCCTGGGCCCTAGCTACTCCAGGTTGACCAGATGCCTCTAAAAGCAAACCTACCTGTCTTTTTCTCCCTGTTTCCCAACCATCCCAAGGTGAACATACAGTTGATTCTCAGCTCCACAGTTCACTAATGAGGTGGACTGTGGACTGTGAATATTTTGGTTAGTCTTCTTATTTTGAGAAGACCAAGTTTGTAATTGGCTGATTGAATTCTACTTATGGTCCAACCTTTTGATGTGTGACCTCAAGAAGGTCATGCCATGTCTGTGAACCTGTTTTGTTTTTTTAGTATATTGAAGAAACTGATAAGGATTAACCTGGGGCTCAAATTAGAGAGCCCTTTAGGAGTCATAAAGCTCACACACACTCTTTTGTTACCATTTTCTATTCCTTATTCATAGTTGTGAGTTTAATTTTTCTCTTTAATCCCTCACATGTACATGTGGAGAGAAAGATTTCCTTGGGAGTACCACCACAGATAGGAGAAAACATACTTTTTCATCCTTATTTCACAGATGTCAAGGTCCTATCTGGGATTGCTTATTCAGAATATGACCTTGAGTGCAGTATAACCTCCAGTTATTCCCAGGTTAGCTCGGGTCACTTGGCACAAGAAGGCAAAGGCAATGTCTACAGGAGCCCTGAGGACCTGAGAATGTAATTATATTCTTCTTGAGGTTTTGTTTATCTGGTTCACTGTGATACTATACAATTGTTTTCAAAATGATTGAGCATCAGAAGACAGGAGAGGAACTGTGGCTTCTAGAGTTACCAGGCTTATAGCTGAGTGGGTCTTGGTTTGCAGGAAAAGGCCTAGGGATTAAGCAAGGAGCCAAGTAGAAGGTCTTTCCAAGCACTGGCCAGTCACCCCCAGGTGGCTCCTGGGTCACCGCTAAGGTTGGAGGTGGGTAGCTGGTACACTGTGGTAGCATGTCTGAGCTCGGAGAACAAGCAGGTTACAATCCTTGTCTTGAGACTGCAGAGCCTTTGTTCTTCTCCCACAGGGGTCTGACAGAATAAAGTCTCAGCCTCAAGCTCCCAGTAATTACTGGGTGAATCAAAGGGACTGTGTTGTCAAAACTTTTATCCATTGGGACCTTCTTTCTGGTGCTTTGGTGTGAGTTGACAGGAGAAGCGGCTGCAGAATTACCTAGTTGTTGGGGGAAGAGTATTGTGTTTCACAAAAAATTATTTAAAGTAGAGAAAAGATTCCTCACAGCCATCTAGGGGGATCTGCTGGAAACTAAGCACTCACTTGGAGGTCTTCTGTGACCTGGCCAATCGGGTTGAGGGGAGAAAATGGAGTGGCCAAAGGACGACTCGGCCCAGGAGAGAGAAGTGTTGCACATGGGTATGATGCTTATGTGCCGAATGGGCCACAGAACATCTCAGAAAGAAAAGAAGGGAAAGGGAGGTCCCTGAGTGTGAATGTTGGGCCCAGCCCTCCCTGTCCAGGGTCCTGAGTGTGATCCCATATGTTCTTGGTATTCAATGCCCAGTCGTGGTCCTGCTCTAAGAAGTATCAACAATGAAGTAAGTCCTTTGTCTGGTATAAGAGGGCATGACTCTGGTGGGTGGACAGGTGGATTTTATAGCTCAATAATGAAACTCTTTGAGGAAGGAGTGACCTCAAGTTGAGGTCAAATTTATTTGTTTTTTTCCTGCTGCTTCTCTTCCCCTACATCTTGCCCACTTTTTTCTATCACTTGCTGCAAGAGAGCAAAGGGATTTTCAAAAAAGCACCAGGAACTTGAGGACTTTGATTCCAGAATAAAATGGGGTGGTCTGGGCTGGAAACAAGGCCACCCAAGCCTGACAAAAGAGGGTTCAGTGTCTGACTGCTCCCCATCCCTGATGGCTGTTGTCCACTGTCTGTGGAGGTGATACTGTCCCCTTGTGTCCCTGTAGCTTGGCTTTAACCCTGAGGCCCCTGGGAAGGTGTCAGGTGTGCCTGGCTGTTCTGAAACATGATCTGTTATGAAGCTGGCCAGCTATCCTCCCCCAAACTACTGCCTTCACACAGGGCTGATTTAGCTCTCTCTTAAATTGATGGGAAAGAGAAGGAAGAAACTATTTGGTTTCTAAATCTCCTTTCAACCCCCAAGTCTGCTTATGGTCATGGCAGCTTTTGTTCCTTGGGAAGCAACGGAGAAAGGAATTAGGGAGTGGTGGGAAATAACTATTCTGATAAATCTTAGAAACATTCTACCAAACTATACCAACAAAACAGAAGAGACATCACAGCAGATCTTGAATCACAGGATGTTTACATAATATAATGCCCATGGCAGACATATACTAAATACACCAAAGTACCTGAGACAAAAATTATATATGAAGAGAGAAAGGAGAATAAAAAGGAGTCTGGTGTCCTGACATCCAGAGGCCCAAGGCACTCTGCCAGAGTCTCTTGGTGGCTGTGTGAACATCCAGTGGCTCCTGGCCTCATATCTCAGCTTCTGTGGAGTGGACCTCTGTTGCAGTGATGGCAATTCCTATGGCGAGGCTGCCATTGTCAGAGAAGAGCTGGGCCAGTGAGGTGTTGAGGACGAGGCAATCCCCGTCAGTGATGATGGAGTCCACACACTCAAGGACAGATCTTGGGGTGGCCTCCCATTTGAGACGACGATGGTTTCTATTGAGCTCCAGACGATAGGTGAAGCAGCCTGCCTGGGTGGGGGTCCCGATCAGCATCATGGTGGCAAAGAACTGAGGGTGCCCTTCATGCCTTTCCTGCTTCCTAAGCACCAGAAGAAAGTGGTGGCCGAGGCAGGAGTGCATGATGATCCAGTCGGCCGGCGCAGGCAAGTGCATGTCCGTAGCGAGGAAGACAATCTCTGCTCCCTGGAGGATGTCGACCCTGTGGATCTGCCGCAGGTGGGGCACTACCACCTCCAAGTGGCCTTCCCACTGGCAGGAGAACAAGGGGCACATGCAGGGCGTCACCTGGGCGGCACGCAGCCCTGCCTCCTGGTGGTGGAGGAGGTGGGGGTGGGCGTGGTGGCGCAGGTGGTGGTGGTGGTGGTGGTGGCAGTGGTGGTGGGGAAGATGGTGAGGGTGGAAGCCGCCTTGCTCTGCAGTGCTCTGAGTGATGGCCCGTCTACTGGACACATACTAGAAGACAAGAGAAGAGCGTTAGTGGGACATAAGGCCCATCTCTCTCCCTGCCTGCGACTTCCCTGGTGTTTCAAGTGTTAAAAGCAGGCAGACTGTCCAGTGCAGAGAACATTTCATTTTTTTTAAGTGAGGAAGATCATGGGTGCCTGGGGAGGTGGAGGCCTGAGATTCTGAAAACTCAGTCCAAGAAAATGCAATATTCATGTCTTTCTGATTCTTTAACAAGCTACCCAAGCAAATAGACAATTTTCTCCCTCAAATAACATGCACCATGATGATCATCAATCATAAAGAACCAAAAAAAAAAAATCCTTGTGTTTGCTTTTTTTTTTTTTTAACAATGCTGATATTTTTGCGCAGACAGTGGTGGTCAATGGATTTTAAAAATTCACATTATTGTTATTTTTAGAACAAAATTTCCATAATATTTGTTTGACCTCCCAGTATTACAGGAATCATGATGTTTTGGGCTCCCTTTTCTCCAGTCTTCAGGCAACCAGTGAGATAGATGCCATTGTGTGCATTTGGAGCACAGTGGCAGGGAGAAATCCCATCTGGGACTTCTGAGACCACACACGTTTTTGTCATGTTCCCAGCTCTCTGTTCCAGAGCAGCTTCCCAAAGACTCACCCCCAGGCAGCCTCTGCGGTGACAATCACCTAATCTTTTGTTCCTCATGGTAGTTCATCCACAAATGCCCTCAACAGCACTAGGATCTGGGAGGGCACCTTCTGATCAGGTGTTGTGAACCTTTACTGTGTACCTGCTGTAACCAGGGCCTGAAGGTATTAGGAATATAGCTATGAGCAAGATAGACACTGAGTCTCTTGGTGTGGCTGGTATAGGCACTTACAATTAATCACAGTTTGACAAGGGTCCTCCTTGTGCCATGAGAACTATGATTCATATTTTCTAGCTGAAGAAACAGGCTTCAGTAGTAATGTACTTGAGGCTAAAAAGCTGGCAAGGGCTAGATTAGATTCATTTTCACATCTCCTGACTCTTAATATAGGCATACCTACATCCCCCGACTCTCAGTCATGCCTTCAGCTCCCTCCCTCTCCACTCCTGAGTATTTCTTGCCTTTAATTAGGCTGCAGGATCTGAGTCATGCAGGGGATGTGGCAGCTCTGCAGTGCACTCCAGGAATTGCTTCTGTTCATTCCCAAAGTATAGAGTATGAGGTGAAAATCCCTCCTTCACAGCACTGTGGCTACCAGAGTTTTTCTCTCTCTTGGCTCATGTGGTTAACTGGGAAGAACTGACTGGTGTCCCTTTAGGAAGCCTTCCCTCTTTAGGGCTTACACAAACATACACATACACTTATACACATGCACACTCGCATAGTCATGCATGTCCATAATGCAGCACACACATAAACACATGAGCGCACATATATACATCATGCACACAGACACCACACATTCATGACACACTTGTCCATAAGCATATGGGCATGTACACAGTGCACTGAGATGACCACCTGGCAGTGGAGGCGCCCTAGATGCCGGTGGGCCTCAAATGAGCTCTGTTCTTGAGCTGTTAGCCCCAGCTGCCAGTATGTGTTCTCCCTTCAGGAGTGTGAGCACCAACAGCCTTTCCAGAGTGGAAACCTGACTCCAGATGACAGTTACTGGGCATTCTGCTGTCACCTCTCATTCACCTCCACCAGGCCTCAGTGCCTCAAGGGTGACAGTGTGGCTTTAGCTATGATGCAACAGGCTGGGCCCTAAAACCTGCTAGTGATGAGTCTGACTTCCCTTTTGTGTTAAATATGGGGGCAGGAACTAACTGTAGGTAGCATCTACTAAGTGCTAGGTACTATGTAAAGTAGGTTTATTTTTATAATTATTTCATTAAGCTTTTCACAGTAAAGATCAATTTATTATTTTTTAAAAATAAATCTTGCCTAGCCTCTACTTGCCTGCTGGTGACCTGTACCATTTGCTCATTGGGCAAGGGAGGGTGTTTCTCCCACCTCCTGATGTGAAGAAGTCCAGGGCTCACACACTATCAGTCAGGCTCAAGGGCCCTCCATTGACTTCCCCACAGTCTGCAATTTGCCTCTTCTGCTGTGCTCTGGAGCACCTACTCTTGGGCTGTCATGGAAAACCCCAAATGCTGACCCCTTCCACTCTCTGCCCTCACATTGTCTTTATAACAACCACAAGAGGAACATAGTATGTTGGTCTTATAGATGAATCACACAGATCACAAAGGGGTGAGGCTGGGAATGGAGCCCAGATCAGTTAAAAGTGCCAGAGTTGGTATATTGGGAAAATCACAGGTGGAATGTCAAGAGACTCTTGCTTGTTTCCCTCTTTACTTATCTAGCAGCCTTGATTAAGGCAGTTTTCTTATTGGCAAAATATTTACCTCAAAGAGTTGTTAGTAGATTATATAAAATAAAGCCTGCAAAATAGCATTAAAAACTAAGTCAAGTGATATACTAAGGTGGCTTTCCATTTTGGTGTGGTTTTGGGTGAAGATTGTGGGGACTTTTAACCTTGGAGGATGCCTGCCTCTCTCCATACCAGTCAAGTGACATTTACATATTGGAAATATCCTGGCTCAATACAGGCCACTGTAAAATCCTGGAGAACCTGACCTTGCCTAGAGCCCAGCCAGGGGCCTCCTGACTCAATCCTGGCCCCTGATGACAGAGCATCCTGAAATCTCACCTCAGAAGTGGCCTCTGGGCAAGTTATCCTCTTCATGGCCTTTCTCAATCCATGTTCCATCTTCTTTGTTCAGATCTGTTCAGCTAATGTCAGAGTTGGGACACCACAACAGGGAGGAAGTGGGGAGGAAATACTTTGGTGGCTCTTCTCCCTCCCTCCAGGCTCCTGCCAGTGTCTTTCATGGGAAACCCACCCAAGAAGCCTGCCAGCAAAAGGAGCCAGGGTATGCACTCAGGAAGGATTGGCTCCCTTTGGAAATGGTATGGGAGAGGCAGGCAGGTGAAGAGGGGATGGCCACCTGCACGCAGATATCCTAGTTCCCTCCTATGTGATGCTGCTGATCTTAATAGGCTGGGCCTCCTAGGCTGAGCTCTGATGGGGCTTAAAGTGAGGGGAGGGAGAGAGATATGCCCACAACTCAAACCATTCGTTCAACTGCACAAGGGGTTGAGAGTAGAGAAGAGGATCCTTGTTTTTGTTTCATGAGCTCGCTAGTATTGTGTATATTATAATACACTGCAAAATGCAGTACAGTAGGCCCTTCACATCTGTGGGTTCCACATCCATGATTTTAACCAGCCACACATTAAAAATATTTTTAGGGCCAGGGATTTAGCTCAGTAGTTTCACTGCCTGCTGTGCAAGCACAAGGACCAGAGTTTGATCCCCGGTACCAAAA